TATATAATATTTATTTCATCGATAAAACATATACTGTAGAATACAAAATACAAACAAGATTACAAGATAAAAGTACAAACACTTAAAAAATTATTAAAATTCGACAGGATTGCTAAAAGTAAAAACAAGTTTACTGTCAGGGAACGCTCCGTGTTAAATCTGACTTATAAAATAAAATTCATAAAAGTATTCAAAGGCTTATTAATATTAATAATCATCATCATAATATCATAGGCCTATCAACAATAATAGGCTGATAATAGATAGGCCTAATAATATTTATATACCGGTATATAACGAATTAGGCATTGTTTTCCGTTTGTACTGTTTGTCGGATCATACTGTATAGTCCTATTCCTGTGTTACAATTAGGAGACTAACGAATTTAACGTCGGTAAACGACGTGTTGAAACGGCCTATACAATCACCTTTTATTTACAATCATATGATATTGAACGGACACAAGACAAGGGCCAAGACCTACGTTGACATATGGTCGTACTTTACCAATTGTAGGAAACATTTGCCGAGGAACTAGGCCCATGGGAAGACGGTAAACTCCTCGATTTCTGGTGATTTATCACTGTTCTGCCGACCTACGCCTGGCTCGAATTTGTGCGAATTAGCGTCCTTTGGTGGTATATGTCTAAGGTGACTTGCCGGTTGTAAATAAACACTTTTTCGGGATTTCGCGATGTGACTGTACTTTCTGGTTGAAAACAAAGGTCTTGTGAGCTGAAAAGTACTTACCTCGGGATTCTTTGAATTTTTTACGACATGGAAAACTCTTAATATAGATGACTGACCACATTGTCGACTGTAGGAAATTAATTAATTATGACTATTTGTATTATAATAATAGACCCAGTTGATTACAGTGTTATTGGTAAAATCATTAGATAGCAGTACAGTTAGTAGCGTAGTGCCAGTAACAGCAGCAGTACATAGGCAGTAGCACTGAGCAGTAGTAGACATCAATCATTATCATCATCATCATCATCATCATCATCATCAACATCCTTCCTTACCAGCAATCATAATCACCATCCTTGTTGAGCCACTGTTTTGAAATCTATCATATCATATAATACTTCATCAGCATCTTACTCAATAGGCCATATCCAACCGTTGGAAGTAACGGCGCAGTAGGAGTCGCGTTGACCCCAAAACCTCATCCCCCAGTAATTAATGTGTCGATCTGGAATTGTGTACCCCTGTGTCTTTTTCCTTAGTCTGTCGTATGCTTTCATGGAGCTATACAAGGTATGTTAAATGTGTTGATTGATGTCGTATTCTGGTAGAGTACGGTATTTGCTTTAGTTCATGTCGCTAATTATAGAAATGTCAACAAATCAAAATCACTATTTACGCTGATGTCACATACTTTAAACTCGTCTCTAAACATTTGGACTTTTACTGACACCTCATTTCCGTTTTCTCATTTGCCGCCCGATGTGATTGGTTGAATGTATTGGTTGAATCTACAGGCAACAATGTGGTTTTGTTGGTTAGCTAAATTGTTTCACTGGTCTACGCGATGATTTGACGTTACCGGTTATTATTACCGTATTCATACTTATGCCCAGGGTAATATGAATGACGTTTGCTAGGCCTACGGGAGAGAGGAAAACAATACGCATTTTGCGCGAGTGCAATAGACCATATTTTTTTCACCTTTACGTAGGTGGTCAGCGTTATGATCATGTGATCTGGTTACGCAGGTCAGCGCCCTACCAAGTACTCCTCCCCCAGGAGACACGGAGCTAGTTCATGTTAGGACCACACGTGGGCTGACAGCACTCCATCGACTGACCCGAAACGCCTAACAGCTCAGTAATTCATGCAACAGGGCATGTATGAATCACGCAATAAGTCGGTAGAAAATTTTACCAAAGTTGTGGTGATAGAATTTATTAGGCCCGTCAAAATTTAGTCTACCAGATGTACTAGGGTTGAAACATGAAGTCAAACCCGCCCTGGAGACTACCTTAAGGTAGCTTAAAAAGCATTGGGCATAACCCCAGCGGTACAATTTGCCAAGTCTAATACGCCTTATGATCTGTTATTAGCGTGATTAAGTCCAACTAAAAGTCATGTACAAACAGACCATTAGTACAGAAACACAGTTGAAATAATACTAGACGTTTATAGGAGGATCAATGTACAATACTCGTACTTTTAGTTAAAACTATAGAAAGCACTTAATCACACGAAGAACGAAAGTCTGGGCTTCTTACCGTTAATGACAGATAAAGTGGACACTAAAATGGCAGTAAAGTAAGAATTAAGTTCACCAAACACTAATAAACAAACACTAAATAACACATAGCAAGGTTGCTGGACATACGGACTGTGAATTAACAACAACAGGTTGGGTGCGTTCAACGCACGTCACGTCTACTAGCTTGCAAAGGTTATAAGAAACTTTATTGATCTTCGTCAGGAGAAACATTGGTCGCAAAAAGTTATTGAGGTGATTAGGCCTACTGTGTCGGTACATGTAGGTTGCTCCTAGAACATCACATACGGTAGCGATTAACATCAGCAACTATACGGTAGGCCTACAATGAAATGTGTTTTACTTACGTTAACATTATTTCATTGTAGGCTTACTGTGATATGGTGTCAACGTATTATAATCATGTCTTTCAAAATATAATCAAGTCTATGTAAATTATTCACATAGGGGCCTAATTCAATAATTTCCAACATTTGCGTGCCGGAGCAACATATCAATTAAGCGGATATACTCTAACGATCGAGAATGATTTAACCCCGACTAAAAGACGTGATCAAAGACAAACGCGTTTGAAAGAATTCGTATTTGACATGGTTCTTGACGAATGTATCGAATGTATCAACTCACCATGGGACTTGTTGAGGAAATCCTCTTTACAAATGAATTGGTTTTCGTCAAGAACGTAGAGTTCTTCTCCTGTTGAGAGTTGTTTCCGACACACCATGCACGTGAAGCAATCTAAGTGGAATACTTTGTTTCTCGCGCGACGGACTAGATCACTTGGAAGGATTCCCTCTGAACAACCAGCGCACTTCTTACCGTATACCCTACAGAAACAACGAAAACGAAAATATTAATAAAAAACCAATATAAATAATACATTATACTTATAGAGATTTATAATAGGCCTATGAAAAACAGAAATGATATATGTAGGTCTTATTGAAATTATCATAAACTTATTTGGTATATGTCGATGAGGTTAATAACAGGCCTAGCC